TTCTTCCCATCCCTCTCAAGCACTCTCCACAAGATATTCAACAGAAACAAATTAAAAATCAGCTACAGTTGCACCGAGAAAGTAGCATAAATAATAGAAAATACAACAGAAAAGTTACATAAATAATTTAAAAAATAGAACAGAAAAATAAGTAAAAATTCACCCACACCAACCAAGCGCACCCGTAAGTGCTGAGCAAAGCATGAATGTCTCTTAAATGGCAATTGCCTGTAAAGCAATATACTATACCATGTCGCTGTATAAGTAGCTGATAATGAATAAAAAATATACATTAGATTACTTTTATGTATATTTTTATATGTATCTTATGCATATAATATACAGAACATTACTTATTTTTCTTAGTTATCAGTTGAAGGGCCCTGGAAACAGAGAAACTATGCACACAAAACATCTTTTTACAACAGTAAATATGAGGACAGCACAACTCCCTCTAAACATATATGGGAACTTAAAACAAAAAAAGCTAAAACACAGCAAAAATATAATGGAAAATTAGAAAAAATGGCACCACCCTACAACTACTCTAAAAATTGTATAATTTGACTGGAGAATATATATATATATATATATATATATATATATATATATATATATATATATATATATATATAGTCCCTCCAAAAGTATTGGAACAGCAAGACCAATACATTTAATTTGTTGATCACTGAAGACATTTGGCTTTAAGATCAACAAATGAATCTAAGACAAGAGTTCAGAATTTCAGCTTTTATTTCGTAGTATTTGCATTTAGATATGTTAAACAACTCAGGACATATCACCTTTTGTTTGAACTCACCCATTTTTCAAGTGAGAAAAACTACTGGAACACGTGACTGGAAGGTGTATCTTGTTGCTCAGGTGTTGCCTTTTAGATTGATTGTTTAAATATCAAATAGCTCTGAATGACTACTCTTGGTTTTTTGTCTCGGGTTTCGCCTGTAAAGACTGCACTTCTTGTTAAAATGATAAGCCAAGATGAAGATGTAAGAGCTGTCTATGGGAGAAAAGGAGGCCATTTTGAAGCTGAAAAAAGAAGGAAAATAGATCAGAGCCATTAGACACTCTTTGGGTCCTGTCACTGGATCTAACCAACGACCTAAAGAGTTTGAGTTCAATACCCGGTTAAGGCAGTGGAGAACTTGGAGAGGGGAATTAACAGGAGATAACTGATAACTGACATCCATAAAACATGGCACGTGGAACTAGAACAGTCTACCCCAGTGAACGAAATAAAGGGTTCCGTTCGACATTCCAACCACCTGAAGAAGGCTGGAGCGTACAACGACCGAAACGTTGTAATAAATATGGCGACAAAGATGAGGACAATAGTCCGAATAATGTAAATAATGTACATAATACCTGATCTCAGAAATATAGACAGATGCTCTACCAAAATGATGGAAAGGTCAAAGTGTCAAAGAAAGAAAGGATCTGCTTATGGCCCAAAGCAGGTACGCTCATCTGTGAAGTATGGGGAGGGGGCAGTGTCTTGGCTTGCGCTTGCCCGGCTTTTTCTTGAACTGGCTAATTTATATTTATTGATGATGTAACTCCTGACTGTAGCAGTAGAATGAATTCAGAAGTTTACAGAAACATTTCGCCCGCCAATTTATAGAGAAATGCATCCAAACTAATCGGGAGGAGGCTTATCATGCAGCTGGACAATTACCCCAAACGTATTGCCGACACAACAAACAACTTCATCAAGGGGGAGGGTGGAATAGACAATTTTAGAATGGCCAAGTCAATCACCTTAACCCAATAGAGTAAACTTACGAAAGAAACTGCCCAATTAAACTACATCCGCGTCCTGGGTAAGACGATAAACTACATCCGCTTCCTGGGTAAGACGATAAACTACATCCGCCTCCTGGGTAAGACGATAAACTACATCTGCGTCCTGGGTAAGACGATAAACTACACCCGCGTCCTAGGTAAGACGATAAACTACGTCTAACAGCAATGCCTTTGATCAGGAGGTTTTGAGGAGCGTGGAACCTCTCCTTAATTGCTGGTTTCCCCAGGTCCACCCTGACCCGGGCGTGGTAGCACCTGTTAGGGTCCCAGCTACGGGTAAATAGTTAACCCCCAAACTGCGGTCAAAACATTATTAAAGTATAAAAATAGTTTTTAATACGAGAAATACTTTTTTTATAAAAAATCATTACCAAAAATACATTATTACCAATACATTTTGGAAAAAAAATATTACCTTCTATATATTTTTTGAAAAAAAAATAGTAGCAGCAATAGAATTTTGGAGAAAAAATTATTACCAGTATTAGATTTTTGTTGAAAAAAAATATTATCAGCAATACATTTTTGGAAAAAAAATATTACCAGCAATAAAAAATTTTATAGGCATTAAATAACCCATTGAGGTAGATATGCCGTAAAACAAAACAAAAAAAAAACAAAAAAGAAACTGCCCCAAAACAAACAAAAACTGAAAGAGGCAGCATTAAAAGTCAGTAAAAGCATCATAAATAAATAAAAAAATACAACAGTTTGGTGATGTCAGTGGCCTGCAGGGTCGATGCAGTTATTACAAGCAAGGACTATACAGCAAAATATTAAATGGTATTTACTTTAGGACGAGCTATTTCTTTACTTCTGCTCACCTAAGAATAGGGTGAGTTCATATAAAAGGTGGTATGTCCTAAGCTGTTTAACACATCTCAATTTTAGTCTTTTCTTTCTATATGCCGTGTCCTTTCAGGACATAGGCGATCATGGCTCTCCACCTCCTTCTATCCCTTGCAGTACTCAACAAGTTCCTTCCCTCTGACACCTCCCCCA